ACGTATTGGGAAGTGGAGTGTCCTCGGTCGCTTTATTCTTTGGTAAATAGCACTCGGGCTGGGTGGGTCCCCGAGTGTGTCACGATACTGTAGAGAAGAGAAATATTTCTCTTGCCGGGAATCGAACCTGATTCCACGTACTTCAAGCCCGTAGCCAATCGCTGTACCGACTGAGCTGAATGTTGTTGGGCGATGGACGGGGCATATGCGCATGTGCGCGCAAGGAGACGGGTGTGCATAGGACGCTGGTTCCATTACCTGACCCCGGTGCGCACGGCACGCACACCCCGGTACACAGCTGTGTAAAATTGGGTGCTGTATTGGCGAGAGAGTTGAAGAAGCCAAGGAACTGCCAGTATTGAGGTCAAGTTCGGTCGCTTGGGACGGCCATATGGGCCGGTGTGTGGGGGACGTCCTCTGTACGGAGCAGGCTACCGTGAGGTAGTTCTGAGGTACTCCAGTTTCCCCCCACGGGCTGCTGTTCTTCCGAGTTCTGTAACGACACTGTGTTAGACTTCATGGCTTTGGATGGTAGAAGTACTGATGAACCGAAGATGATGTTGAAGAAAAGAACCATGACCTGATTTAAGGTACTGTCCTGGCAGTTGCCGATATCTCGACCGAGATTCGAACCGAACACCTGCCGAATGCTATGCTAGAGAGATACCGCTGCTCTAACCTGTCCAGTGCCTTTTCCATTATCGTTCTGTTATGCTACAACAGATACTCTGGTACCGTATATTTCTGGTTACAGAGTGACTGGAATGCCCGTTGAAATGTGATAAAAATTATCTAAGCGTAGTAACTCATAAAGTTTGGGAAGAGCTGCCTTTTTTTCTTGTCATTGGATACTGAACGCGACTGTGTAGCAATAAGCCGTGCTGCTGACGTTTCTTTCTCTTCGTCTCGTAATTCTGTCTCGTATCCCTTTACTTCGCTCAGCCCTGCGTGAGTTTCTATATATACATCTCGCCAGCAAGTGGCAGATCATTTGTCGGGGCGAAGAAAACTTTGGATCCTTCTTGAGGAGCTAATAGTTTCACGCCTATTCAAGAAATTGCCAACATATTATGTAATCTGAAGGTCCATTAATGTGTCAGGCGAATCCACCATTGGTCCCTATCCCTTAGCCACATGAATCCAGTTCACACTTTATCGTATTTCGTTACGATCCGGTTTAATATTATCCTCCCAACTACGCTAAGAAATTTCGAAATTGTTTCTTTCCATTAGATTTTCCTATGGATACTTCTTCTACATTTCACTTAGCTCATTTACGTGCTACGTGCCCTTCCCATCTCATCCTGTCAATTCTTCCCTCAATATCCCCCTTAGCCCCCTTTTCTCTCATATACCTTACGCTGAGAGGCCAAGTTTCAAACCCATACAAAACAGCAGGCAGGCAAATTTAGTTGTGTGTGTTATAATGTTCGCATTTCTAAGTAGCAAACGAAAGGACGCGAATGACACGACATGCAGTGCGCATGCTCCGAGGGCCATACGGTTTTGAGATAATGGAAAAAGACGAGCGGAAGGGCCCGTGAGGGTACGTCACGGTGCACAAACGCATTTGGATTCCATTCTGTTGGGTACAGGTTCCTGGGAGCAGGTTTTTTTGGAATAGAGGTGATTTTTTTTTCGTTTCCGAACTTTAATGTCCAGACACCGAACGCTTGAATCCGACAGAATCCCCCCCCTTATGGATAGACGCGACGGCTGTGTTTGAATTTCTCTCTTTTTTCCGATACACCCACCGCAGAACCGAGACTGCTGCCTCACATCTGAACTCTATATACCAAGAAAGTCCTTTTTACACCGCTGCTGTGATTTAAGAATAATCTGTTTCAAAGCAATCCTCACAGATCAGTAACGAGGTGCCGTTTTTTCTTAATAATGGATGAATCATGAAGTAAAAGTAAAGTAAAGCTATCCCTGTAACAGGGCGTGAAGGCCCATAGGGTTGCGAGATGTTGAGGTTCCCACATTTTCTAGACAATCGGCTCATAGATGGCGGTGAGGTTGTCAGCCTTACGCGCCGGCCGCTCTTTAACCCCATGAATATTCCTAGTACTCGTTTCTGAGTCGACCCCAAGGCCATAGTGCGGCTGGAAGGATTAGGTCAATTGAAAAAAAAATCCAATGATCTCATCGGGACTTGATCTGGCTTGTAGCATAGTGCCTCAACCAACTACGCTACCGCGTGCCCCGAATTGTGAAATACTTCGCAGAAACCTAAGAAAATCCACTTCGTTTTTTCCTTTGTCCTCCAGAAATAGTAGTCACAAGGTCGGTGGCATGTCCTTATTGGACTTAAATTGAAATTGTATAACTGCAGAAAGACGCATGGGCCTGTTGTTCTGTGAATACTGGCCCCGTGCGTTAATCATCTGTATTGTCCGTTTGAAGTCTGAACACACTGTAGTGGGATGTTAAAATAAATGAAAATTTTGCCTTCTAGTATACAGGGTTATTCAAAAAGAATGAACCGATTTTATTACGCAATATTTTATTAAAGGAAAGTAATACAATACTCCAGCCAAGTCAAAAGTATACTACTCACAATCAACTTTTATTTCCTGTCTTTAAAGCGTTCAATGTGGCCACCACCTGCAGCACGGGCAACATCAATGCGATAAGAGAAGTCCTCCCAGGCGCGTATCAGCATATCACGATGCACTGAGTTAATTGCTGTTGTTATTCGATGTTTAAGGTCATCGAGGTTAGTGGGTAGCGGTGGAACATAAACGCGATCTTCTACATATCCCCACAAGAAGAAATCACACACGGTGAGGTCTGGGGATCTCGCAGGCCAAGCACAAAGAGCAAGGTCTGGGGCCCCCTTCCGACCAATCCATCGCTGGGGCACGTTTTCATTTAAAAAGGCTTGGACCATCAGGCGCCAATGGGGCGGTGAAAAATGTTGAAAAATGAAGTCATGCGAATCTGCTTGCAGTGAAGTGAAGAGCCAGTTTTGGAGCATATCGAGATAGGTTTGTCCTGTAACGGTGTTTCCTTCAAAGAAAAAGGGACCATAAACCTTGTCCTGAGACACAGCACAGAAGACGTTCACCTTAGGGGAATCTCTTTCGTGCTCAACTGTTTCATGTGGGTGCTCTGTTCCCCAAATACGCACATTGTGACGACTGACTGTGCCGCTCAAGTGAAAAGTCGCTTCATCACTAAAAATTAAACGTGAAATGAAGGTTTCGTCTTCCATCGTCTCCAGCATCGAATCGCAAAATTCCATCCGCTTCCTTTTGTCGTCATTGGTAAGTGCCTGAACGAGCTGCAGTCTGTATGGTTTCAAGTGTAGACGTACTGTTAGCACACGCCAGACAGTGGATTGAGGGATCGCAAGCTCATGGCTAGCTCGCTTTGTTGACTTCCGCGGGCTCCTCTCAAACGCAACACGGATTCTCGCCACATGTTCCTCCGAGACTCGTGGTCGTCCTGGACTTTTTCCTTTACACAGACACCCACTCTCTTGAAACTGTCGAAACCACCGTCGAATGTTCTTAGGACAGGGCGGATTAATGCCGAATCGCCTTCGAAAAGCACGCTGCACCGTGACAACCGAATTTGTTTTCGCGGGCATCAGGCTTACAGGATTGACATACTCTTCGTCCCTGGAGATGGAGGTGAAGTGCTCCGAAACTTCGGTTCACTTTCAGCGGAATATATGGCATTATATCCCAGGAGACAGAACTTTTCGTAACCACCGCTGTGAGAACCTCAGATCCTGCCTAAAAGCCAGTGCTTAATGTTACCCCCGAGGCTTCAATTTACCTAGGAACTTCCTGTGAATTCGTTTGTTTGTTAAGACTTTATATTGTCAAGCGATAGGACAATTAGTGAAAAGTGAATTGCAAAGGATGTGGAAGAAGTGGTCGCGGTCTGGTTTCCGTGCATTTGCCTCCTCTCCACACCGTGAGTGATGATGTCCCATCACCGATATGTTGTCTGTAGAGCCAAGTTCAGATCCAGGCAACTGAGAGATCCCTGCCCGGACCAGATAAGATTACACCGGGGCAGGCCAGATCCCATTTCCTTACGATGTCAAGTCAAGATCTGTTTGCTAAGGTTGTCCTTTGTCCTCTTGTCAGACGGAAAGCTACCGGTGACTTCTCTTAATTCTTTGAGGCACCATGGTCACTATAAGCACCACCAGTTTTAACATTTATAAACCCTTCATTTTTCCTTATGGTTCTCACAACGAACAGCGACTGTTTCCCTAAACAGCATTAACCGGTTGGACTTTGTNCCCCCCCCCTCAATGTAGTGTCTCTCACTACCACCCCCCACTTCTCTCTAATATAATTTAACAGCGTGCATCAAAGTATTTAACCCTTGCAGGTCATGACTCCCCGTCCCCTACACACAGTTTCCGAAACGTTGTGCTTGAAAAAACTCAGGGCGATGAGCAGTGCCCTAAATAATAGGCGTGTTTCCTGCGATACGCCATCACCAGAAGTAGCGTAGACGTACAGTCATGACACTATCGCCTGAACTGTTCTGATGGCATAGAACTTCTCAGTAGTTTCAGGGGCGACTGTAGAGAGGACGGGGGCTCCATTTAAAAAGCAACCCCTTTTCACTTGTCCATGTGTTACGTCAGCTGCCTGGTCTTTTTCTGCAGAAGCGACACAGTCAGGTGGCTGGCACTTCTCCGAACTGGTGAGGTCCCGGATTCAAAAACGAGACCCAGAGACCGACTAGCTTAATTGAGCGGTGTTGTGGTTTTCCTCAGTCCCTCCAACCACGTGTCACTTCAAATTTGGTCCTGACCGCTTCCTTCCATGGCATTTTGATTTTTTTATTCAACAATTATCCTGCTGTTCAACGACTTATATTATTGTCATCGTCGTAAAATGAGTACGTCACAAGTGGAAGACGAACCAGCTCCCGAGCATCTGTCGATGTTGTGTCCTGTAGAGGATGCCGCTTCATGCTGTGTGTACGCCACATTCTGATTCGGATTGTTTGTTTGTTTGTTCATTTAGGGCGGTGACAGACCCACGCGATGGGCGAAGAGTCGCCCTCAAGAAGCTACCGAACGTCTTCCAGTCGCTGGTTTCTTCCAAACGCGTGTTCAGAGAGCTGAAGATGCTCTGTTTCTTCAAGCACGAGAACGTAAGTATGCTGCAGCGTCACAGATAGTGACGTAAATCCTTACGTCATCATTGGAAACTTAACTGGTTACGATCGGAAAACTCGTTGAAAGCAGAGGTCTTTTCCATAGCTCAGGCGGTTAGGCGGCGGCCCGGGTTCGAGCCCAGACCTGGCCGTGTGGGATTTGTGGTGGACAAAGTGGCACTGGGACGGGTTTTCTCAGTACTTCAGTTCCCCCTGTCAATTCTCATTCTGCCGACTGTTCCACATTTATCTTTCCCTATCACCCGAGATTGGTACAATAGGCTGAACAGTGGCCGACGTACCAAGTGGACTCAGTCCTCCTGAAGGTGTGACGCAACGTCAGACGTGTTAGGCGGCTCATACACGTACGAGTCCGGCTCGGCGAGGAGCCGGACTAGGATTAATTTCACCACACACGTATGAGCGTGGCGACCCACACACGGACGAGTTTAGCTCATTGGAACCCGAGCCGAGTCGGACTCTCGAGCCAGACTCGTACGTGTATGGGCCCCCTTAGAGAAATTATAGTGGGGGGTTGCACTATTGCATGACCATAGACTAATAGACTAATAAAGTTGTCTTTGTAATTAATTAAGCATCATGTCACCAATACGTCTGGATAAGTGGAGATATAGTTCGATATATTCTCAGTATATGCAGCACATGGATTTGAGTGTCCAGCTTCACGCCCCGGTCGCTTTACCTCCGAGGAAGACTCTCCACTGTACCCATTACATAGGAGGCTGGGTGGGTCTCAGAGTCTTGACGGTGTGGGGAAGACAAACATACTTTATCCCTGCTGGGAATCGAACCTCGATTCCCAGCCGCCCAGTCCCTGTGCTGTGGCTCCAGCAGCTAGTCATCGCGGCGGCAACCATGATGAGATACAGAAGATGTTTTGGAACTGTCTCAACGGAAAATGGGGCTCCGTGTGGCTTGCGGATGCTTACAGGAAATAAGCTACCCCAAGTTTTCTTGATTGGCATTATGGTCCAGCGCTATTCTTTGGTCTAACGCAGGGTTGGGCAAACTTTATAGCTGAAGGGATTAATTTGGGGTTTTAAGTACTTATTAGTAAATTGAAACTCGGAATATGCCTAATTTATGCCATTTTAATGGACGGATGGTGAGAAACACAGGCGCTGAAACCCTTATGAAAAATACTCATACAATCTCCGTGGACTATAGTTTGCCACCACAAGTTTGCTGTCTATTCAGCTCTTTAGTTAGGTTTTTTTTTAATTCGCTTAGTGGGGGCTGGAGTCCAACTGGGTCCACTGGGCACGGCGGCCACTGATGGGCCTATTGTACCTGCCCCGGGTGATTATGATGATGGAGAATTTGGTGGAATGAAGATTGGCAGGGGAAACCAAAGCGCTCGGAGAAAACCTTCCCCAGTGCCACTTTGTCCACCACAAATCCCACTTGACCAGGCCCGGGATCGACCCGGGCCACCGCGGTGGGAAGCCAGCAACTAACCGCTTGAGCTATGGCGCGGCCTTAGTTGGTTAGTGTGTGAGTGTAGGGTGTCTAAATATATGTCATCATTAGAGGGAAACTGGACTCAACACACGTTGGAAGTCAAAATCAACTTACCCGAAATTTCGTTTTGTTCCGCAAGGTTGCCTATCCGAGGTATGAGGTTCTTTACAGACGCTGCACGAGTACACTTCATGCTGTGTGTCAGGAACTCAAGCCGTTCTTCATTCGTGCAGACTGTACTGATCAAGGCTATACGGTTCGCGACTTCAGCCGTCATCAGAACAAACTGGCGACCCGGTTCATTCCTTATGACGCGAACAGCCGATAATTTGACGCAGGAATGCGCTTGCGCGCCGTGCCATGGCTCGGGAGGCTGGTCACCACCGGCTTATCACCGCAGATTCCCGGACCAGTTCGTGTGGGATTTGTGGAGGACTAAATCGCACTAGGACAGGTTTCTCCTCACAGCTGTCATTACACATATGCGCCATGCGGATGCAATGTTGAGCCGACTTGGAGTAGCGAGTGTAGTGAGCAGGCTACGGGCTGGACAGCAGAAGAATCAGGGTTCGATTCCTGTTGGAAGCAAGGATTATTTTCTTCATTGTACAGACTGGGCCCTACCCATGTTCCTGTCCAATTAGTGGGGAGTCACTTTCTGCAGAACGCGGCCAAGGCGTGAAGCTGAACACTCACTTCTATACGAATTTGATGTTAAGAATACATGGAACTGTACTCCCACCCCTCTATACGTCTTAATGACCTGGTGCTTAAGTAAGCGCGTAACGCTTGAGGCCTGCATTCGGGAGATGCAAGGTTCGAATCTCGGCCGGAACTCCGGCTATTATGACCGAGGTTTTTCGTGGTTTTTCTCGGTCGCTCCAGATAATTTGCCGGGATAATACTTCGATTAGTACACCGCCGTTTTTCTCGAAATCCTGTCCATTCCGTTGCTCGCTAATCGGCGTACTATTCGACACTAGCAGCCGTAGATGGCGCCAGCGTCCTTAGATAAGTTACAAAGTACCTAAGCACATGGACAACTTTACCTTCGATGCTGGGCAGTGTGGGCTTCATGCACGTTTTTCTTTGCAGGTTTTGTCGGCGCTGGATATTCTGCAGCCCCCTCATCTAGACTTCTTCCAGGAAATGTATCCTTTATTAAGCACAGTGGATTGTTATGGTGGCCGTACTGTACGTGTCTCATCCAGTCGGGTGAGCAACCTCACGGGCCGGCCACAGCCATAGTCTGCTGTGCCGAGCGTTACCCCGCCACCGGTGTGTCGCCACATGGTACCCAGTATGTCGCCATAAGGTAACGGGTGTGTCGCCACAGGGTGACGGATATGCCGCCGCATGGTACCCAGTGTGTCGCCATAAGGTAACGGGTGTGTTGCCACAGGGTACCCAGTTTGTCGCCATAAGGTAACGGGTGTGTCGCCACAGGGTGACGGATATGCCGCCGCATGGTACCCAGTGTGTCGCCATAAGGTAACGGGTGTGTTGCCACAGGGTACCCAGTGTGTCGCCATAAGGTAACGGGTGTGTTGCCACAGGGTACCCAGTTTGTCGCCATAAGGTAACGGGTGTGTCGCCACAGGGTACCCAGTGTGTCGCCAGTTCTTGTAATAAATTGTATAGTCGGACGTTATAGTTAGAGAGAGTGTGTTTGTGTTTGTTCTTAAATTTTTCCTCTTCGCATGTTTGCAGTGAGCGTGTACCTGCGTCTTTCTATTGTTACTGATACACGTACAATTCTTAATATAATTTAGGACGCGAGGATGTACATGTACATCCTTATGGTCATGAGTAATGTCCTCCCTCCCTTATGGTCATGAGTAATGTCCTCCCTCCCCCGTTCGTAGGATGAAATTTTGTGGTGTGCTATCAGATGTGTGACAGACTTGGGTGTGCCAGAGAACGCACGCTTTGGGCGTTTGCTTGTTACATCACACGGAGTCGCGCTCTTCTATCGGTTGTCTGAAGATTGAGGCAGCAGATCCCTCCGAAACGTTGGTACCATTCTACTAAGTGCTTAGCGTCACATGCAAGAAGGCAATCCTAATCTTCGTGAGACTCTTCACATCCACTTATGTTAGTGTTCATTGCATCCTGTCGCATTATGCATCACTTCCGTCTGAAATGCCACGTGCACTTACTCATTCACATGAAAATAGAAAATTAACCATTAGAAATTGCTACATGTTCCGACTTGCCATCTTCAGGCAAGTGACACACACGCGGCTAGTCCAATAATATCAAGGTAATAACATCACACGGACGATCATACGAGTTTCAGAAATAACACGCAAACACTGACGCAGCGCTTGGAAACGTAGCGAGTGATGTCCTTCAGCAGTTGCCTTTTAATGAGTGGATGACGAAAAATGGCAAAACACTGAAATATTTCAACTTAAGAAATAAATAATTAATCTTAATTACATTGAAAATACAGTGTAGCAGTTTGACAAGTTAGACAGTTGCCTGAAGATGGCCGAGTAGGGCTGAAAAGTGTATTAATTTTCTTTATGGTTAATTTTTATTTTTGTGTAAAGGAGTAGTTGTAAATAAAGTTGCATTTGTGGCGGAAATGCGTAAAAGCCCATTCTCATGTTCGATATAAACTTATATTTTCTTGCCGTCAGCATGTAGTTATTTCCTTCAGGGTGCCCGACTAAAATTTTGAATGTATTTTGTGAATAATAAAATTATGTGTAACCGCTCTTCCCTCATTCCGAAAGAGTAACATTAACAGAAGAAAGCCGGGTTTCGATCCCGTCAAAGTCACCACTGAAGTCGCGACCTCACGCGGAACCTAGGAGAGAGAGTCGTCAGTTGCCAGGCAACTAAGTGGCCGCTCGTAGTGCTGTCGGAACGGGGATGTTTGTGGCCACAGCCCCCCCCTCCTCTTACCTCTCTACCATGGCTGCCCGAGTTCGATTCTAGGCCAAGTCATGCGGGATTTATGGTGAACAAAGTGGTACTGGGGCGGGTGTGTGTATGTGATCCTGAGGATGAAGGCAGCAGATTAATCCGAAACCTTTTAACGATCTGCCATACTGCACGGTGTCGCATGTCTGAAATCAATAATCTTTGGCTTTGTCTAGCTTTCACATAATGTGACCCTGAAAGTCTTTCCGGCCCTAAACTCCTGAGCCCAAAAGAGTGAGAGTGGGCGGGGGTAGTAAGAGACGCTATATTTGGAGGGATACAAAATTTTCCCCCCTATGAAGGTTCTTTTTATTGCTAGTGGGGTGGAACTAAGTCCATTGTACTGCGGCCACTTCTGGCCCGTTGTGCCAGCACCAGATGATAGGTGAGGGTGATGGTGGAGCAATTGCTGGAATGAAGATTGGCAGGGGAAACCGAAGTACTTGGAGAAAATCTGCCCCAGCGCCACTTTGTCCACCACAAATCCCACTTGACCAGACCCGGTAGGAAGCTGGCTACTAACCGCTTGAGCTATGGCGCGGCCCGCTCTGAAGGTTCATAGGCAGTGCCCGCTTGGCCTTCTGCTAGAGGTACGTTTGACACAGGGTAAAGCTGTAGCAAAGAAAAAAGGATTAGAAATTGAGTGGACTTTGTTACTAGCAGAGGAGATAGGTTGAGCAGTTGATTGTGATGTTACCGTTGGGAGGGCTGCATGTGAAGCATACACTGTAGTGTGGAATATGGGTACCAACTCAGCATTTGCTCTGGTAAAGAGGAAAACCACGGAACACCTTGATTGAATTTGCCGGCCGCAGGACCTCCTGGATATAACCTGACTTCTAGTCAGCAGTCCTGGGTCGGGTCGGTCGCGTAAATTGCTGCTGGTCCTTCCTCTTCGGCGAACCCTAACTTAATTACTCACTCATGGAGCTGAGCCCTTCTGGAGGAGCCGCCAATTCTGCAGCTACCCAAAAATTTACCAGCATTTTATGGAACCCGAAGGTTCATTACCGTGTCCACAAGAGCCCTCCACTGGTCCCTTACCTCAGCCAGATCAGTCCAATCCATGCCGTCCCATCCTATCTCTCTAAGATCCATTTTAATATTGTCCACCCACTTACGCCTTGGTCTTCCCAGTGGTCTCTTTCCTTCTGGACTTCCCACCAATATCCTATACGCATTCCTCGTCTCCCCCATTCGTGCTACATGCCCTGCCCACCTCATCCTCCTTGACTTGATCATTCTAATTATACTTGGAGAAGAGTACAAGTTATGAAGCTCCTCATTATGCAGTTTTCTCGAACCTCCTGTCACTTCATCTCTCTTCGGTCCAAATATTCTCAACACCCCGTTCTCAAACACCCTCGGTCTATCTTCCTCCCTTAATGTCAGAGACCAAGTTTCACACCCATACAGGACGCGAGGCAAAATTATAGTTTTATATATTCTGATTTTTATGTTTTTCGACAGCGGACGAGAAGGCAAAAGGTTCTGGACTAAATGGTACCAAGCATTACCCGAGTTCAATCTCCTCTTAATTTCCTCCTGAATCCGGCGAACCCTAACACGCATTTAAATTTTTTTAAGAATCCAGGCCGTACCTCACAGGAAACACATTACGTCTCCCCTACAGAACCCAACCGGTTAATGCTGTTTAGGGAAATAATCGCTGTTTATTGTGAGAACCATACGGAACACATTAATACACTGTGTGGGCAGAATGCAGAGTTCAGTTCGTACCTCACAGAAACACATTACGTCATCGCTACAAAGCTCAACCGGTTAATGCTGTTTAGGGAAATAATCGCTGTTTATTGTGAGAACCATACGGAACACATAAATACACTGTGTGGGTAGAATGCAGAGTTCAGTCCGTACCTCACAGGAAACGCATTACGTCACCGCTACAAAACCCAACCGGTTAATGCTGTTTAAGGAAACAGTCGCTATTTATTATGAGAATCATACGGAACACATAAACACACTGCGTGGGTAGTTTTGAATATTAAAGTAGGTGGTACTTATAATTACCATTGTTCTTGAAAGGTCAATGTCACACTCAGCAGAGGTTTGTTTACGTGGTGACCGGTCCACCATTCCAGTTCCTGGCCACGTGAAGCAAATGGTGTGCGGCGTGTGTCCCCGACAGTAGAACTTCCCTCGCTGCTGACAAGAGAACTCGTTACTGTTCTCGGCGGGGTTGCGGTGCGTCCTGAACAATTGACTCACTGATGTACGCACGACATCGTCAAGCGATAATTTGTTCGAAACTGTAGATGAAGGGGTTGGTCGTGGTGCTTCTTAGTGATAATATAATCATGACGTCGAATTAAGCGTATCTTACTCTTCTGCAGTGAAGATGGAGGCAGAAAATTCCTGCGAAACATAACCACATCACAGAATAACATTCGTCGCGCATTGGTTTTGGAACCAGTTCCCTGAGAAGGACGAGTGACGGGCGGTTTCATACTTTGTGTTCCTGTTCACGCGCTGTTGCGTCATCTGGTTAGGGAGAGATAAATGCATAGAAAGTTCTGGTAGGAAAGCCTGAAGGAAAGAAACCACTAGGACGATCTAGACGGAGATGGACGCAGTGTTGAAGCTTCGGGTGCCATGTAATGCTGGGAAGTTCTTGAGTGGCTATCTGCTTCTCAGGAAGGTAGCAGACGTCTTCATGAGAAGCTGATAGTCGCTCATCTTCGTCACTTTTTGTGGAACCAGAAGATTCATAACCGTGCACACAAAATTCGGCCACTGTTTTATACACGCTCACACTGTTTATATCCATCTTAATGTTATCATCTCAGCGACATAATCTACACGCTTCACAAATTTCTCAGCCTGGAATAATTATTGGTTCAAGTGAGGTAAATATTTTTTTTATTTAACTCCAATAATTATACAATCTATCCATTAAGTGTGGATAATATGTACATTTTGTGGTTAATTTGCATATAGCAAAAGGAAAGAGAGTACTTGACGTGGTAAGCATATTCCAATGAACATGCTCAATACTTATTTTAACTGAGTTTGATTTGTTTCATTCTGGTCCGTCACACTAACAATTACAAATATAAATTAAAAAAAAAAACTTTACATTCCCAGGAAACTGCTGTGTTTGTGAAATGTTCTATCTAGTGTACTATGTATTGTAGCATATAAGTGTACGTACTTTACGTGTAAAAACTTATGTGATGGTGGTTTCCTATTTGTAGTGATG